TCACGCTAAATAAATTATATCAGACATATCATATTTGTTACACCTTTGGTGTTAAATTAAAATAGGTAAAAAAAAATTGGGCTAATGAAACTAATTACATAGTTCAAGGTATAATATGAAAAATATGATGAATAAATTAAAAAAATGTGATAATTTTGAGATATAAGTGAAATTTATCGAACAAGCTAAAATCTTTATCGCTGGAAAAGCTAAATTTATTGGACAATTCTGTAACTTCATCTTCTTTCTCCTTCTTCTTCGTCGTCTGAATTGTTTTTTTTTAAAATAAATTTATTATAATCTCAATCTTAGTTTTAATAAATGACGATGATTTTATAATCTCATAGGATAAAAACAATTCTCTTACTCCATTGATCTTTCTTCTTCTTCTTCCTGTTGAGCGGTTTTTTTTTTTTTTTTAATGAAAAGATTATCTTCTTTTTTTTTTAATGAAAATACCATTTTTTAAGGGTAAGTGGGTAGCCGGTAAAAAGTAACAGGCTTGATCAACGGTGGAAGTTTTTCATCAGTTGTGAACCGTTCAATGCCTTTTTCGGTACCATACCGAAAAACTGTTTTCGGTACTGTAGTCGGACCCACTAAAGAATACTCAATTGTCTTGCACAACAAATTTTAATTCGAAATCTATAATACTTTAATTTAGTACTGAGTTCTTGAATCTTGGTTATAAGGTTAATATCCACTTTGACAGAATTAAGTTATTACTTTTTTACCATGTTACTATTTTTTGTGAACATGTTATTGTCTTTATTGAGTATGTTATTATTGTTATTTTTAAATATTAATATTTTGTCTGTGAAGTTCAAAATAAACTAGAATAGTAAATTAAAATTGTATTTTATGTAATATAATGAGTTTGAAATTTGAATATGAACAATTTTTGATAAATGTCAATTGTTTTTCAGATAAAGAAACATTGTGACTTGGAAGATTGTAATGGGATTTGAAGGCAATTATGAAGGAGATGCATATGACTGGTTATTGTGTTTATAAACGTCGTTTATAACATTCTTACAGGGAAGAGTTACAATAGTAAAATTGACAAAAAATAGACTTAAAACCAAATAAATTTTCTTAATAGACTTATCTCCAAATAAGTCCATATAATGGGACCGGCCTCTAAATTTTCCAACTTTAAAGCCTTAATTTTGTAACTAATAAAAGTGTATTATGACTGCCCATGGGTCCAAAAAGTGTATTATGACTGACATGGATCCTAAAATTTTTGGAAAGGCTAGTCCGATCCGATTCATTTATAAGAAGACTCGTTCGATCCGATCAAGTCAATGTCTCACCACCTGGCCCGTGGCTTAAAAGCCCATTATATTATTTAACTCTAACTAGGGCCGATAATCGAGCAGTGAACTTCGAGTCAATTCTCTCGAACTCATTTTTTTAAATGAACTTAAAAAATTGTTCAAATTTAACTTATTTAGAAAATGAGTCAAGTCTGAATCAAACCTAAAATGAGCCAAGCTCGACTATGTTACATACAAACGAGTCAAGCTTTGCCAACTCAAGCCAAACCTACAAGCTTAAAAAATTATTTAAGTTCAGTTTGTTAGAATATTAGTCGAGTCTTATTCGAGCCGAACTCATATAACTTGACTCAATTATTAACTCTATTGTAACCACTTTAATTGATGATTAATTTATAATTACGTAACAAATATTCTTGTCAATTTATTTATTTGACGGGGTTGGCTGGTCAGTCCATTAATAGCACTGACGGGTTAAGACTAAATTCAAACTCATTTAACTTGATGGCAATTTCATAGGACCCGAAAAATCACCCTCAACTGCCTATGGAAAAGAAAATAGCGTTTGGCAATGGCAATACGTATGCCATTGTCCATGGATGGATTCCATATTCTTGCATATTTGAAACAAGGAATCTTTGGGTATTGGGCTGCCATAATATTCCCTAGTTTCGAAGATAGTGGTGTATTGAGTGGGAATATGAGAGTTTTTGGTGAGTGAGCGGCAGGCAAAGTAATGATTTCGTTACTTCAGCAAATTGCAAAGAAAATCTTCTGACATTAACAGGTAAGTCACTTCAGCAAATTGCAAAAAAAATCATCTGACATTAACAGGTAAAAAAGTTATTCCAACGTGTGATTTTTTTTTTTTGGTTATACAGCGTCTAAGTTTACACCAACTATTATTTTAAACTCAACAATAACTACCGTGACCTAAACCAAAATAGAGCATGTTACTGAAGAGCAAAGGTGACTATCCTTTATGAAATGTAAGAAATGATTGAACCCGAAATCTTGGAATTATAAAAAGTCAAACTCAACAATTGAACCATCCCTAAAGATTAATATGAGATGTTATTACCAACATAACAAAACTGTGAATAGATACAATGTAGTGACACATACTAAAAAAGTACAATTACTGTTAAGACAAGTAAATCATTTGGTTGATATTGTAAGAAGAAAATGAGAATTTTGTATTCCTTTTATCTACTTTTTTATTAACTATTTTAGAGTTAAAACAATTTTTTAACACAATTGTTGAGGTGAACCCAAATGACACGATTCGAATATGACACTATTTGACACCCATATTTTGTGTTTTGTGTGTTGAAAGCACACAACCTAGTTGCCAACCAAAACAAGTGGGCTGTGAAAGTTGCTATCTTGTTGCTCCTGTGCTGGCACCATAGGGGCAGCACCAAATCTCTGTGTCTGGGATTCCCCAGTCAATACACTCTCCTTATACGCTTCATCCAAGGCCAAAGCCGCAAGCATGGTTGGGAAATTCTGTTCAGCATGGCCATGAGGTTTATTATTAACACTTTAATTTGATTGTATTCTCCGAACCTTCTAGTCTAAAATTATATTATGCAATTTCTCCACATTGATCACCACCTGCTCATAGTTCCCAAACAATGACCACATAAGTAAACTCAATTTCTTAAAGCCCACTGAAAAGTGCAGATTTCCAAGAACGGAAATCTCTTATGAGTTTCATCCACGCCTAAACCCTATTTTGATGTCTGAAAGTTGAATCGGTTGGCCCTCCCTATGCAAAGAGATTCTATTACCCCCAATTGCTATGAAATAAAGGATGCTCATTGAAAGAATCTCCACTTATACGACACTAGATATTCAATAATATTATTACTTTCTATGACTAATCCTCCCAAGAACACATGCATTTTCGTCACCAGACAATTACCTGGATAAATCCTTGGGGTCCTCGCGGTCACGTGCAGCTTCGTCGCCCCCTATGCACAGGAAAACTCCTTAAGGGGTTTACCTTAAGATGAGGCTTGAATGTAGAACTTCCACCTTTTTATAAAGTTCCTGCAAATTGATTCTGTTAAAGCACTTTGATTCTCTGGTGCTACACTTCCATTCAAATGTATCTAAAGAAGTGAATGATTCCTGAATTGAAAAAGATTTAAAAGCAGTAACAAATGAGTTCAAGTGTATACAAATTGGCATATCTCTGGAATCAAAAAAAAAAAAAACAGCACAAAACATTCAGGGGTACAACCAGAACTAGAATAGCATATAGTAATCCTGCACAACATTACGAAACATCTTAAATGACAGTTTTCAAATTCTCCATGGAAATCTTACTAGTTTCATGATTGTCACTTTCAAGTAAATTCACACAAATCCTATGCAAGAACAGAATTTTCCTCCTATGCAAACTTTAATGGGTGATTCAAGGAGAAACATTACACACTATAAACTTTGTGGTATGGTGGCATGTCTTGGGAGATTTGATGGGATTTTGTTTCAGTTTGCTCTGAAGCAAGTTAAAACAATTTAAAACTTAATCAGCTCAAAAATAATGACACAAGCCCAATTCCATCTGTTGAACAGTACAACATTACAACTTCAGTGGATTGTAGGCTATTCAACAAATTGTAGGCATTATTGCATGTCAGTTAAAAAAATTAAAAAGCAGAACCCTAAACAAGAGAGCCTCAAATTGTTAAGATATCTCAAGGCTTCATTAGTTAATTAATATCTCGAGTTCCTAAGTTAAGAGTCTAGAAAGAGGTGCCCTTCTAAAGCTAATGTGTATAGTTTGCACGATTGCACGCTTGCCAAGTTTACGTGGTTCAGATGATTATAGGTCAGGGGGAAAAAAAAAAGAAAAAAGAAGCACGCTCATTCGGCTGAATGATTGCCTAACTATAGTGGGTATGCTAATCCGATGCCTTGTGCGATTCTTGCAACAGTGAAAATTTCATGTGCCTTGCAGCAGAAATTTCTTGTGAATTAATGATTTTCTAGGGTATGGACACGTGCATAGATGAAGGATGCCTTGTGGATTTGCTAATGTCATGCAGATCAAGAATAATATGAAAAGATAGGTCATTCATCCTTGATAAGGTAAAAAAACCTCAATTATATGCTGTCAACTAAGCTTGATACAGTAATAGAAGAATCAGATCTACCTTTTTAAACTGAAAAAAAAGATGCTAATAACTTGAAATCCAGCAAGAAAGAGATGCTTCTACTACAATTCCTTTTTTTCTTTGCAACAACAGCAGTCTAAACTAACATGCCACCCATGACTACAATACAAACTGGATGCAAACTTGTCAATCACACACATCGAAGTTAATTGAACTTGAGACCTTGACATAGAAACTATCGAGTTTTTCTACCCTAGCTACACTGAAAGGTTGGTAATTCAACTTCTAGATGTGACAGTTCTTTCTTATTCTGTCTTACTAAACATCTGATCAATCAGGATTTTATGCAAAATCAGATTTAAGAGATCCTATAACAAAAAGTGTATCAGAATACTTTTTTTTCCATTGTTCATTTTTATTCTGTCATTTAGTTAGGTGACTGTCAGGCTATCAAAGGAATTTAACAAGAACATGATACCAACAACATGCAGTAAGAATCCAAACCCAACTCTTCCACCAACCTCTATATTACTGATGCATTTTATAACTACTCACTACTCAGTTTTTCAAAGGTGGAGTAAAGAGCGAAGTACTAATGGCAACCAAGGCATGTACCCTTATAGGCACGTACAGGAGGTTCAAACCACACATCTTTATGACTGTTGCTCAGATGTGTTATACTTTTCTGTACTTCATCACAGAGGCTTCCTTCAATCATGGGATGAATTCCCATGTCTACATAACTTATCGACATATCGTAGCTGGTTTAGCAATATTACCTTTTGCCTATTTTCTAGAACGGTAAGTCAAAATATCTGTATGCATCCCTTGTGAAAAAGAAATTGTCAATATATGTTTGTTTGAATTCTCTATCTTGATTAGTTACACACTTCAGCTCTGGAAAAACTCTAAAGGATTGAGTCACATGCACTTAACGAAAACTTGTCTTTGTATGTATTACTTTTGAATTAATGAAATATATATCACCTATTTTCACAAAGAAAGAAAGAAAACATCAGGTCCTCTTAAATATTCCCAAGGGCAATATCCATATCAATTATGAATTTACAATCCACTAAAGTAACAGTTAGTAATTCTAGCTTACTTTTTACCAACAAAAAATTCCTGCTTACTTGGCAATCGCCACATCATTTATGAAGCATCCGATTTATCAGTATTAAGTTTTTCATTCATGTCATGCAACCAGACAATGATCATCTTGTTTCCTGCAGAAAAATAAGGCCGAAGTTGACACTGGCTCTATTCATGGAGATCTTTGTTCTTTCTCTTCTTGGGTAAGATCACGTATTTCTCTAAGCTAATAAGTAATATTTTGCAGATTAATTTGGTTTTTCACTGATCACAGGGTGAGTTTGGCCCCAAACATGTACTTTGCAAGCTTAAGATTCACCTCTCCAACCTTCCTCGCATCAATGGTTAACACAATAGCTTCCCTGACTTTTGTATTAGCAGTTATACTCAGGTAATCCATGAGAGGTTTACATATCCAAGTATATCTACACATACACAGATGCATATGATTATTTTCATTCTTTATCTGAAAAAAGCAAGTTCATGCAGATTGGAGATTCTAGATCTGCGAAACCTTCGTGGAATAGCCAAAATTCTCGGAACCTTGGTTTCCTTGGCAGGTGTCATGACCATGACATTATACAAGGGACCCATTGTGCAAAACATATGGCATCCTCAAATCCATCTCAGAGGAAACATTGGAATCCACGAGAACTGGTTAAAGGGTTCAATTCTCACTGTAATAAGCTGCATAACATGGTCCATGTGGTATATAATGCAGGTTTTTAGACTAACTCTTATCTCCTCTACGAATGAGTTTCATTCTGGTGGGGTTCTTCTGGAACTAGTACTAAACAGTAGGAGAAAGAGTTCTATTTGAATTTTCTATAAATTAATAAGTAAATATATGATAAATATTTATTGAAAATTAAAGTACAGATGGAGGTGAACAAATCAACAGAATCAGAACACAAGATTAGCTAATGAGAATACATTCTAAAATTGTACAGTTATCGTTTAAAAAACATTAACATGAAATTATGTGCATTCTTCTTCAAATCAAGTGAATTGACAAGACTAAGCCATGGTTGTCGAGTGAAATGAATAAAAAAATTTACTTATCATAAAAAACGGTTTTAGTTCTCTTCAAGGACATCCGACAAAACTGGAACAATATAGAGATATTAACACAGGCCCCTGCATAACGACGACATGCAAAAACAGATGGTCCAATTTTTAACTTACAGAAACAAAACAATTTTTAATATTGATATAAATGTTGACATGTCAGAAATTTTATGAATTTCCTAAAAATACAGGCATATACACTGAAAAGATATCCAGCACAACTGTCACTTACTGCATGGATGAACTTCGTTGGAGCCGCACAATCAGCTGTCTTTACAGTATTCATACAACATAAGCCAGCTGCTTGGGCCATCGGTTTCAACATTGACTTCTGGTCTACACTATATGGAGTGAGTAGGGAATCATTGATCTATTATTTATTTATTTTCTGCAGTTCAAATCAAACGCTTCCTCAAATTAATCATAATACTGTTGAATTGCAGGGGGTAGTGATCTCTGGATTACTAGTCTTCATTCAATTATGGTGCACAGAAGAAAAAGGGCCAGTTTTTGTGACAATGTTTAATCCCCTTTCGACAATATTAGTGGCTGTTCTAGCATACTTTGTCTTCGGCGAAAAGCTTTATGTAGGCAGGTAAATTACGATGCACATCATTGATTTTGAACTTACAGGCATGTTGCAGTGCATTATAATGCCTGTTATCACCTTGATTCCACACCTATGCATGCTTCTGGATGCATATTACAATGACAACCAACCCAAGGGACACACACACACACACAGAGATGCAGCAGATTAAATATTCTAACATCTTCGGATTGTTCAGCATAATAGGGGGAGTTATTGTCATTGTTGGCCTGTACTTGCTATTATGGGGCAAAGAACGTGATAAAGATGTACCAGTGAAGCCGGAAGAGCAAGCTTATACGACTAATGAAGAGCATGAAGACCTTCAAATAAAAGTATTCACTTCAACTGCAAAGGATTTGAAAGGAGAAACTCAAAAGTTATATAATTCCTTCGACTCGCACATGATAACGTAATTTAACTGAAGATAGGCAGATGAAAATAATGAAGAAGCAGACATAGATGAAAGCAAGCATGAACATTTTCATTTCCCGGAATTCAAATTTCAAAGGCCTTGATTTCTGCATCCAAAGATATAGTAGATAAGCTGCATCAAGTTGGGTTGCTCCTTTTTCTGTGTGTGTCTATGTCCTGGGGACGGGGGCTGCATCAAGTTCTGCTTTCAAGTGCACCAAGGAACTTAAATGGCATTCCATATGCTAAGTGTGTGATCTAACTTGTGGTGCATATGAAACCTAGATAATCGATATCAAATGAATCCTGTTGCTGGGCAATGACCCATATCATTCTTTCTCCTTTAACATGAGCACTGACTACTAACTCTAAACAAGAATTATCACAACTCCATTACTATCATTTTGCAGTAGTTTAAATAGCTTTATCATCATCAATTTCTGTGAAAAATTGAATTAGTCTTTAACAACTGAATACCAAAAGCAATCACAACAATTAAAAAGTTCCTGACATTTAGAATATTCATTAAATGCAACTAGAATGCTAAAGATGGAAAAAAACTTAAAAGGGGAAAAACAATTGAAGCACATAGATTGCATCTAACCCAATGTCTTGCCAATTAGAGTCATACATATGCCTCTACTTGAATTTAAAAATCTAGAGAAACTGAACGCTCAAAAAAAATAAAAAAAATAAAAAAAAAGAAGGCAAATCGATTTATTTATAATTAAAAGATGCAATACATTACTAAATTGCATGATAAAGCATCTCAAAATGTGCAAATAATCACATCCAAAAATTACTAAGCAGCAGGTGGCCTGAGCTCATGATCTTGAGATGTATCACGGGCAGTTGGAGGTAGATACTGCCACATTGGAATGAAACCATAGCTGGGAAAAACTGGCATCTTGTTTGCACCACTCTGATAAGCTGCCGGGTGGGCTGGCATAAACCCAGCAGGTGGAACCGCCATAGCTTTCAACTGCTGCTCCAACCTTTCTTTGTCAACCTTCATTATGAGTTTCTCTTCACGAAGTTCATTCTTATCTGCCTGTTTTAGGAGAATAGTTAAATGATTTATCTGTGGTGGTCTTGGAAAATTGCAGCATAACGCATTTAAGTATGAATTAACTATTTGCAAGTCAGAACCTTGAAAAACAGAGATTCTTTTATTCAAGGGCATCCTTGAAACATGTTATTACAAAGACATTATCACACCACAAAAACGAAAATTTTACAATAAAATATTATATTTCTCTTTCATAAGCTATATTCTCCATAATATGCTATAGCCTATCACTGGCTCCCTATGGCAATAACCATTCCCGTACAAAGATATCAGGACAACCCCGCGGGATACAGTCCCAGAAGACACTGATGACAGATGCAGTAGATTGTAGAATTTCTCTTAAGAATATTACTATTTTTTTGGTAAATCTCTTAGTTGTTCAATTGAGATCCGAGTCGTGAAACGAAATCTTCTGTTTTCTGAATCGAGCCAGGAATAGTACTAAATTCAAAATTTTTCTATCCATCCATGCAAATGCGACATTTGAGTATGAAGTTTAGGTTGGTCAAAGTTAGGAAGCTCAAGTTGGTTAAAACAATGGCTAATACCTGAAAGAGGTGACAAATATGAAGAGTCGTCATCTCATAGAGGATGTACAAATTCTATTATGACCACCAATACAAGGTCTATACGTACCAAAATTTTACCAATATTGCAATTGGTTTCAGGGGAAAAAGTGATAATCTCATGAGGAGCAGAGACTAGAGAGTTTATGCTTGCCCTACTTGTTTACCTATTTCATGATCATAGCAAGTATAGTGTTGCCAAAGAATAGCCATAGAAGCATTTAAACCAATATTAAATATTTCATTTTCACTTCTTTACAATCTTTGTCAAAGGTTTTTAAGCTTTTAGATCTTTGTTGTTCTCTTTTTAACCTAGCCAGCCATAGTTAATCCTTTTTTTTGGGGGGGGAGGAAGGGGAGAGGGGGACTTGAACCTTTGACCTCAAGAAGGCAAAGCCTTCCCAAAACAAGGAATACCATTAGACCAAAGGCCTGTTGGTTCCATAGTTATCCTTTGTACCAACATTTCATTTTAGCATAGCACACTCTCCATTAGCAACAGAATCAATTACTCTCGCATCAGATCAGCACTCCCCATCTCTTGCATCTAATAAAAAGATTCCAGGTGCAAATAGCAGATATAATGCATAAAAAAGGAGGAAACAATGACCTGAAAAAGAAGAGGAAACGATGATCCTATATAGAGATCGCAAAAGAACATATATTTGGCTCCTGGACAATACATTTATAGATCTCCGATTGCATTAAAGGGGAAAAAACATGAGAGAAGAGGCAAAAAATAAGCAGACCTACATCTCTCAAAGCTGATTAGAAAGCTTATCTCAGAGGAAATAACATTCATAGTATTATAATGTCTTTTTCAGTGGTAAACTAATATATCTGGAATTGTATGAATCAGTTTTTAATTGCGAAATTTTTGATTATCTTATGAAACGCATTGTTCTGTCAAGATATGTTACAATGCGAGATTTCAATCTACCAATTCATATCGAAAAGGTGAGAATGGAGAATCTAAAAACTTGAATAGCTATCTTTACTATTATATACATCATCATTAACACTCTGTCCTTACTCCCTTTCATGTATCATACTCTGAAAAAATATTATTGCTGCCTTCCTGACATATTAGTCTCTTCAAATCATGCCAGTAACATACATTCTCTAAATTTTCCTCTTTTGCTTTTTTTCGTCCTTATAAAGAAGTGTGGTACGCCCCTTCATCTGCTTGACAATAACCTTTAGGTTATGACCAAGCCAAGACACCAGTAATATCTACCTGGTTAACTTAAATAAGCACATCTTCATTCTACATATTTCCTGTCCTTTCACTAACAAGCCCCAAAACTTTCATTGAGCAAATAATGTAATCTTATGTAACTCTTATTTTGGTTGTCTGGCATCTAGATGCCACCCTCTGCTCACCCAATTTTTCATATGGGGAAAAATACAGCTAAACTACAGAACTCAGTGAAGAAAATAAAGTATGATAACACCAGAGAAGAAGATAAGTTCTCGGGGGATATCACATCATATGACAGGAGAAATAAGTTACAAGAGCTGCTCATTAAAATGACGAAGAAACATGACTGACTTTTAAAGTTTTTATCTCTTCTAATAGCTTTTCATTCTTCTCTTTGTACTCCTGAGATTCAGTCCTTAGCTGGTTCAAAACTCGGATGGCATCACCAAGTATGGCCAATTTGTCAGTTTTAGCAGGCCTCCCAGGTTCCAAAACAGAGCACAACTCTGTGAACCTGCATGAGGGATGAACATAATTTCTCCATGAAAAATACAAAATACAAGTGCTAGTTAAATGATCTTCTTAGCTCTTTTCACATTCAGGACACTGCAATCATCTTATAAAAAATTTTCCTTAAATAACTCGTGTCACAATTAGAATATAGGGATCTTGGTGTGCAAGAATTCTAAACCCTTGAGCACAGATTCTCCAATTTACTCTAAAGTAAAAGTGAACCCACTTGTTTTTTTAACAACATAGACAAGTAATTTCTCACATGCAAAAGGCAACCAATGCTTGGCTTATAAAATGCAGTTGTCCATGTGTTGACTAGCAAAATAACAGTTCCAAAACAATTTAAAAATGACTAGAAATTGAACAAGGTGCCTGCCTGTCATTTAATCTTTCCCTTCGTTGTCTCTCACGGCAAGCTTTGGTCCCTTGTCTGCTGCAGTGATCAGAACGGCCCCTGTTAAGTATCACCAATAAAAAGTAATCATATATTAGGACTAAATGTACATCATTACATCAACCCTGCAAGCACAAGTAGAAAATAAAGGAAATACACAACAAACCACTTGACAAAGCATATCTTTATATTTTAAAAGGTAGCATAAAATCCACTAAAAGGTGACAGAGATCCTCATGCATGCTGATTCTACAGAATGACCATGTCTACCAGTAGCTAAATAAAATTTCCAAATTATCCAAAAATTAGAAAGAAGAGAGCAAGACTAAAACCAAAAAAAAAGAAACAGTGGGTGACTGCTGAACTCGTTTTTATAACCAATTGCAGCCCATGTACACAACTAATGGACCATCTTCATAGCAAAATGTTATGTCAACCAATTACAAATCAATGATAAACATATTTTGGTAATAGGAAGATATATAGTAGAATAGCAAGACCATAAAAGCAGCTTCTCTACAACTGCAATATTTGATCCACCTTATCATAGATCAATTTTCAAACAATCTAATTATTAGTCATGAAAGTTAAGAATGAAGCTGAATTCTTCTTGCACAAATGGTTTTGCTATTTTCTATGGTAAAAAATATAGAACTTGTTAAAGTGACTATTTTCAACACCAATACCTTTGCTAGAAATGAAAGCTAATTGGAGTGAAGCCAAATAGTGAAAGGTTTAGTTCTCTATCTCTTGAAAGAATAGCTTTGTCATATCTCAATGCTAAAAAAGGACTTGCAGCTAGGCCACTAGAATAATGATAATTTCTGGGAAAGACAAAAAAGGTTAACCTAGACAAATGAATTTGAAAGAAGAAACTCATCCAAAAAAATGTGAAACAAGAAACCAAGGGGACTCAGAAAATTGATTTTGACAGCAAATTCAAGGACATCAAGAAAACACAGCACATTCACAAGAAGACAATGTTTATAAATGAATATAAGGGTTGAATATTATGTCTTAATCTAGGATTACACTAGAGGGAATGGTATTCAGAAACATTGTCGAGGAAGCCTATGTATAAGGGCATTGAGCTTCACAAAAGTCACGTTAAGGATCATTAGCAGTAGAACAAGTAGTAAGGAGCATCCCCCATATAAAATAGTACCTCTTCCGAGGGTATTCTTTCTCTGCACATTCATTTTCTTGTGATGTACCACGAGTTAGCGACGCATCAAGTTCCACATTAGCACTGCAATAAAATAATCAATCACATCGCGACATCTAAGCGAATTAACAATGACATTACCATGAGAATTCCAACTTAATAGTTGACAAAAGGCCTTGTTTGAAATTCAAAAAAGAAAATAGCCTTAAGCAACACAATATCTGGGCTCTGCTCCTGAAAACCAGGTTTCTTATAGATTGACATGTGGTGGTACAATACAACTGTTATCTTCTATTTTCACAACTGAGAGTTGCCCTTCACACATTCTAAAATTTTATCTAACTTCACAATCTAATTAACCAGTCCAACCTCCCAACTGTCGCCTCCATTAACAGGAACCAAACTGGGGTAATAATCCTCTGACTTAAGCTTGCATTCGGAAATCACGGAGCTTGGGTCTTGAAAACGAAACAGACAAACAAATTCACTTCAAAATATTGTCCCACCCTGCCTTAAAAATTCCCAATTCCAACATCTTCTTCATGCAGCCAAACACATTACGAAGATCAACTTGTTTTTCCTCCCATAAAATCTGCTGAAAAATCCCCCCCACACCAATAAAAACCCCCAGAAAAAACTATAGCAACGCTCCACTGATCTTCAAATTTGTTTTAAAATAGGAATTCGAATTACTTAACATCATCCTCTAATTATTTCCAGTAAACGATTCATATTCGCAATTGAAATTTGTTTTCCCTAAATTGTAGCCAATTTCAGGAGCACCTTGATACGTATATGCGAAGAAACTCAGCCTATAAGTCGCCCCTTCCATGGCTCGACCAAAAAAGAGACCTATTGGTACAAACCCACGAATAGAACACACGTCCAATCTCATATTCAACCCGATGTGGGACCGTAAAACATAATTACAACACACAGACACACACACACACACACATATATATATATATACAAAATGTATTTATCAGGGAGTGATGAAGAATGTGACCTACCTTTGGTTGGTCCAGTAGAGATCCGTGGATGCAACGTCGTCGATAAAGCTGCTGTAATCGATTAAGTCCCAGCTATTATTACCTTCAAACGAATCCATAGAGAAATTTTACAAGATCGTAAAATTAAATCATGAACACGATTCTCAGGTTTTTCATTCGATCGATCGTCTTCGTTTTTGGAAAGAGAAAAAAGTAAAGTGGGGCCTCGTGGAAAAGGAGGGCTTAGCACCGTACACGAATAATGATATGGAGGAAGAATATAGTCCAATTATGATATGACACGTGGAGAGTAGTAATTATTGGTCTTCCGCTGAAAAAAATATTCAATGCAACAACAGTATCGATCTGACTCACCTTTAGATTTTAATTTAAATTTAAATTTAAGTAAAATAACCCTACAAAAATTATGGTTAATTATAAATTGCACCTTGAAAGATCATTCGAATTTTAATTTGTACTCTCAAAAATTAAAAATCTCAATTTATACCCTCAAAAATAGAAATTTATATCAATGTGTATCCCTAAAGATCAAAATTCTCAATTTGCACTCTCAAAATTTGTATAAATGTGAACCCCAAAATAAAAAATCTCAATTTGTACTCTAAAAAATAGAAATTTGTATCAATGTGCATCTAAAACAAAATTGATAAATTATACCTAGATCCCTTATGCTTGTCACTTAATCATTTAAATCTCTTCACATTTAGAATATTACTCCTACATCATGACAAATTGTACATGTGTAAAACGTAACCCATTTTCGTTGATATTTGTTAATATAACCGTTAAAAAATATGATTTTATTCTAATAAAAAATTATAATTTCACATTACCCTTTATTTTATGGGTCAAATATATTCTAAAATTCAAAATCAAGCTTACCATTTGAATCTCTAATAAAATAGAGGGTTGCATATTGAGTGATATATTGCATTGAATATAAAAAATATTATATAAATATATACATTCTATTGAACATTCAAATAGTAAGCTTGATTTTACACTTTAAAGTATATCGGACCCACAAAATAAAGGATATTTGAAATTAAAATTTTTTATTAGGATAAATTCATATTTTTTAACAGCTATATTAACATACATCAACAAAAAAAGGTTACATGTTACACGTGCACAAATGCCATGAGATGTGGGAGTAATATTCTAAATGTGAAGGAAGTCCAAATGATTAAGTGACAAGCACGGGGGGATATAAATATAATTTATCAATTTAATTTTAGATACACATTGATACAAATTTCTATTTTTGAGGGTGTAAATTAAGATTTTTTTATCTTTGGGGGTGTACATTGATATAAATTTCTATTTTTAAGGGTGTAAATTGATATTTTTTATCTTTAGGGGTGTACATTAATACAAATTTATATCTTTGAGGGTGCAAATTGAAATTTTTGATCTTTGGGAGTATAAATTAAAATTTAAACTATCTTTCGGGGTACAACTTGCAATTAACCCAAAAAATTATTACAACCTTTAATTCAAACTTATACGAAATTAAAGGAGACTTATTTTTTTTTATTTAAATTTTTTGACATAATATTACCGTTGCAATGAATATTTATGAAAAAAAATATTCAATACAACGGTGATATTATATTATTATTGATAAGACGGTATTGTCGTTCAAATGGACAAAATGAATCTCCCTGTGTAGTTATTAATTTACGGGAAAAAAGAGTTGATAATTATTAACTTAAATGAACATGTAGTTATTGACTTGTGTAGAATTTATTTTTCTATTTTTTTATATATTATTAGTTAATAATACCACTACGATGAATATTTTGGGTGAATCGCACATCCCGGGTTAACACAAAATAAGATAAAGTGTAAAGATAATTTGGGAATATAATAAGTAACACATTCTTTTGATTAGTTTATTAATTTTTAATATTAAATGGAAAAAAAATTAATTATAATTGATTTGATTTTTAGATTATATTTATAATTTGAATTTAAAGTATATTTTTCACCGATAAATCGTGTCAATATGACCGAGTGAGTCTAAAATAAATTAGGAGTTGATTAAAGAATGAATTTAGAATTAAAGGACTTTTAATTATGTTTGGAAGGTCAAATATACTTATAGAATCATAAGTAATTTCAGTAACGAAGTTAAAAGTTTAACTCATTTAAAGTCTATTGAGAACAAGACCCTTGGTCTAAGTTGTCGGCATCCATTGGGCTTTGGAGGGGTACCTACCTTACCCACCAAAGTGGTGGAGTCTACAAGTTCTTGCATTCAAAACAGGTGGTAATTGTTCTGACTCAGTCCCCGGTCAGGTGGCACAACCAGAACCAATGTTTTCCTCCTCCGAGCGGAATAACTTGCGTCATTTTTTCTCAATAGTAAATCACTCAATTGAATGTAACCCATTATATATAGATGGGTCCATCACCAATACACAACCAATGATATACAATTTAAAAAATTCGAGGCAAAGTACACCGGATGGAATCTAAGTCGCATACGTACCTTGATGGAGAAAGAGGAGAAGCTCCATTCCAGTCGCAAAAGTAGCTGGTAAAATGTACACCCGTTTCTCTGTAACATTAACAACTGTGATAAAATTGGCATGTCGAAGAAGGCCAGTCTAATTTTCCTCTGAATAATTTGCTCGGACTGAACCCAAGTCATCTGCATTAGAAAATCACCGGCATTGTTGCAGGTTATAGCTAGCTGCCAGCCTGCCTATCTGTTCAGGGGCGACTAACAGCAGAAAACAAGTGGCCAAGCTGGCCTTCCTGGTTTCTCCGGCTCATAGGTCATGCATTTTATTGCAGCCATTTAAATGGATACAATTGGTTGCTTAGCAATCTGCACCAGCATGTCTGTAGCTAGCAGAAATGGTCTCCTACTTATCCCATTACTTTAGAATTTTCATATACATAAACATTTCAAACTAATCAAAATTGATCCATATTCGTGGTAAATCAGCAGCAAATAAAAGAATAACAGGCTAACAGAAAACCTTTATTGAATGGATCCTGAACGGTTTTACACTTAATGTGATGTAGAATTTTGATGTTACACGGAGCCATGAACATTTGATTATGTGAAATTCATCAGCAGATTGAATTGAGCAGAAACCGTCTCAACCATATTCAAATGACATGAGCTTCATTTTTAAGCTTGTCGATCAGCTCATCAACAGAAGAAACAATAACCCCTGCCTTTCTCTTCGGTGGTTCATTCACTTGAATAACCTCCAAGTCCGGCTTGATTTCCACATTCAACTCCTCTGGCTTAAATTTCTTTATGACCTTAGATTTGGCTTTCATTATGTTGGGAAGTGTTGCATACCTCGGCTGGTTCAGCCTCAAGTCAGTGCTGTATGCATAACAAAATAGAACATAAGTGATAAGTCAACATTAAGTGAAGTAACCAGGTTCACTGACATTATCCTCAAGGCATTGCTAAATTATGCTAAGTACTATTTAAAACAACATACGAAAACACCATTTTCATGGTACCTCTAAATACTCAATAAAACGTAAAAACCAGTTTTTTCAGGACTTAAAATTAGGAAAACTCAAATTAAAATAAAAAAATTTTAGCTGCTACTAGTTTGCTGAAGTTGGTCCTTAAACCTGTTTCAAATGAATAACAAATCAAGTAAAGATGTGACAAAAGAGTTTAGTAGACTAGAAATTAGGGTTGATCAACCAAAATTGGTTTTCCCAACCAGCTTACGAAATTGAATGAAGATATCAAAACTAGCCATGCTCGAGGCACTTGTAAACAAATACGCAAAGCAGTGGTAGATAGTTTGTCTGTGTGTGCGTGTGTGTGAGTGTGAGAGAGCACTGATCTCAATGACAGATAAGCATACTCCCAGAAGTACCCACATTATCACTTACGAAGATCACTACAGTTCAAGAACACATAAGTTTTGATAAGACAGAACAACAAAATAAGAGGATCAGAATGTACGTGATTACTGCTGGCAGGTCTAAACACAAAGTCTCAAGGCCACCATCCACCTCTCTGTCCACTGTTGCTACTTGTTTCTCTTTGTCCAGCACAACCTAATGAGTAATAAGAATAAGCAAGTAAGGTATAGGAAAATTTGATCCAGAAACTGATCTTTTTTGCTTTATTTTGTGGAAATACCCCCCCTCCCCCTTTTTCTCTTAAAAAAAGGCGGATATTAAGGGTTGCACCACCAGCACATACTGGAAGGGCATCCTTTAGGACAAATTTTATGGAGCTAGAACTTTGGGAAAGAAAAACAGCAATCACAAGAACAGAATTTGAAGAATCTCCAAAAGATAATTACTTGAGTTAATTCAACCAATTGTTCTGCCAACACCAGCAGCCAAAAATTTCAAACAGGATAGTGGAGAGATACAAAAAAAAAAATTATGTGCACTTTCATCCAATCCATGGCCTATAGTAACAGAATATCCACGAAAACACACCATTTACACGGTCTCCTTTTGTAAGCTTGGGTGATGTGCATAACTAAAATTGTTGTCATTTTATTTCTTTCCATAAGCCTCCAGTAGCAAAAGTGTGTGACTGTGAACAATACTATGAAAGCATAATACTACGCAGGAAACTACACAAAGTATTTCAGATTCAAAGTATCACAAAGATTTCTATAACTTCCCTGCAAGGATTTATCCAATATACGATTAGCTTGTCATGTGGTACATGAGCCCCTAATAGTCTATCGGCCGTATTGATAAATCAGGCATTCTTCGCCCACTAAGTGAAATCAGTGGTCTTTTGGACACAACTAGGTAAAGCTAAAATACCATTAAAGAGTGTTTAGAAACCCCTCAAGGAATATAAGGTTTTCATTATGTTGAGCTTAAGCCGTCATTCAATGAGTACCTTTCCGCGGCTCCACTTCTCCCCCCTTTTCGTTTTTTTTTTTTTTTGGGGGGGGGGGGGCTTTGGAGAGACTTCTTCTTGTTCTTCCAATTCAGGAAGGTGGAAGTCGTCCGACTGGTTTGGCCCAACCATGAAAGGCATAGGCATGGGAGTGTTTGGAGCTATGTCAAGATTGTGGCAAGCAAAGACTGGCTACCTTGTAGTGAAATGGTATTGACCCATGTAGACTCCCAAATCAGCTGTTCAAGGGTTTGTAATTCGTATGAACCAAGCAGCCATAATTATTGTTCTTGGGAGCTATTCCTGAGAAATCGTAAACATTCTACCTTTCACACCTCAATCAGCATCAAACCCATGCCCATTCTATCTGCCCTTACAACCACCTAAACCCATTTTGCACGCTAACCTGACACCGTAAATGATAAAACCCACACTTATTGGGCCCCAAAGTCCGTTTTTATTGTTGTCTTTCTAATATAGTGATGAACCTCCAAAGCCACATCACATGGTTTACTATACTAAAGGAAAAAAAGAAAAAAGAGTATAGCCAATGTAGGGTAGGATGTTTTTTCACCAAGTTGGCAAATTAGGGCTGAGAGTCAATTTCCCAAAACTGCAAGGCTTGTAGAGGGCAGAGCCCAATTGCACTACATATGCTAAATGAATTATATGCACTAATTACTCTGCTAAAAGAAAAAGTAAAGGACACAAAAAACTAAATGGGTCTTCAAAATGTGATTGGACAGACCATCGCTATGTAAAGTTGGTAATGGAATGATGAAAGACAATAAATCAGAAAATATCATGTCATGCAGTATACAAAAATTTTGACAAATGGGACGTGATGACAAGGCTTGTTACAAGATAGAACGCGGTAAAGCAGCCTAAACGTTGATCGCAAAACTCAAACCAATATCATTTAGGAACGTCAAATCCATACAACTGAATAAAAACAAGCTAAAGAACTTTGATACTATTCTGTATCCCTGGTTTGAAAGAAGATTATGTTCTATAAAGTTAAGAAATAGATTGATTTCTTGTTATCCATAAGGTTTGTGCAATAGAGCTAACCTTGGAAGCAAAGGTCCCTTGTGGCCAGTTGAGAAGGCCTGCAATCATTTGGCCCGTTTGATTGCAATCATCATCAATTGCCTACACAATTATCTGGATATCAGAAACAATATTCAAACACATGAATTTCTGAATCAAGGAGAAATTTAATAGCAATACTATCAACCTATTTGGTCTAAAATGAAACATTACACTCTTAAACACATCTGAAAAGTAAAAAGCATCTAAAACTCAAAGGAAAACCCAATTTCCAGTTTCTGAATTCAATATCGAAATTCTCTTGCTTGCCCAGAAACATCACAAAAACTCCACTCCCACGAAAAAGAAGCAACCCAAAATTGAAAAGCACAAAAACCCAATTCAATTTTTCAAACATCTATTCCAGATCATCATCTCAATCCACCCAAAAACCAATACTGCACACACAATCACACATACACCCATACAAATCTAGAGCCACGTTTCTAGATGGAAATTTGACAAACCTGTTTGCCGAGTACAAGAAGCTCAGGCTTTTCAATCTCAACAAGAGCTTTAAGAATCTTTGCTACCGAAAGTGGATAAAGTGTACCTTGTGCCTCCACATGAATCCCCCGGTCCGCACCCATGGCCAGACCAGTACGGAGGGTGTCAACACACTGAGCCGGGCCCATACTCACAGCCACCACCTCCGAAGCCAGTCCCGACTCTTTGATTCTCAGCGCCTCTTCCAAAGCTATTTCACAAAATGGGTTCATTGACATCTTCACATTATTGGTCTCAACACCAGTCTGAGTGAATCGAAAACGTGTGATTAAGTGGGTGACTCAAGATTTGAGAAAGTGGGTTTTGGAGATAAAGAGAATGGGATTTACCTTATCGGGTTTAACTCTGATTTTCACGGCATAATCTATGACTCGCTTGATGGCCACCATGATTTTCATGTTTGTTCTATAGTATAGTGGTTTGAAGAACAGAAAAATTGAAGGAAGCGGAGACTAGTGAGATTGTTTTTGGTCGGGAGATTAGTGAGATTCCATAGAGGCCGTGGCGAAGGAAACGGCATTTCAAGCAATTTAGGCAGAATTCAATCAATTGTTTATCACCTACGAATTACATTATCTTTTTTTTCAATTTGTTTTGTTTCAGATAAAATAAAAAAGGGTTAATCCTAAATTATATTCCGAAAAGATCGTTGAAATTTTAATTTTTATCTAATAAAATTTAAAAATTTTATTTATACGATAAAAATGTACATCAATGTACACTCCCAAAAAATAAAAATATCAATTTATACCCTTAAAAATAAAAATTTATATTAATGTACCCCGTCAAAGATAAAAAATCTCAATTTGTACCCTTAAAGATAAAAATTTATATCAAAGTACACCTAAAATTAATTGTTGTCAATTTGTTGTCTGAAACTAAATTGATAAATTATACCTAAATTCCCTCATGTTTATTACTTAATTATTTGGACCCCTTCACAAAATAAAAGGTAATATGATATTATAATTATGTTTAACTGATATATTGCATTGAATATAAAAAATATTATATAAATACTTACATTCTATTAAACATTCAAATGATAAACTTAATTTTGAACATTAAATTATATCGGACCCACAAAATAAATGGTAATATAAAATTATAATTTTTTATTATGATAAAATCATATTTTTTAATGGTTATATTAACAAATATCAATTAAAAAGGGTTACGTGTTACACGTGCACAAACGTCATGAGATGTAAGAGTAATATTCTAAATGTGAAGAGGTTCAAATGATTAAGTGACAAATATGAGGGGATCTAGGTATAATTTATCAATTTAATTTTATGCAGCAAATTGACGACGGTTAGTTTTAGGTGCATATCGATATAAATTTTTATCTTTGAGGTGCAAATTGAGATTTTTGATCTTTAGAGGTGCATATTTATACAAATTTCTATATTTTAGAGTATAAATTGAGATTTTTGATCTTTGGGGGTGCACATTGATATAATTTTCTATCTTTAAGGGTATAAATTGAGATTTTTTTATCTGGAGGTATAAATTGAGATACGAACGATCTTTCGGGGTGAAATTTATAATTAATCCTAAAAAAATATTAAATAATAAAACATATAATTAAACAAATAATGGATAGTTAATAAGGAGGAGGTGGGTATAATATCATTGGAAAAAAATTTATTTTTAATTTAATAATTTAAAATTAAAAAAATTCAAACACATAAAAAGACATCTCAAGTATCCCACACATAATTTGTTTGCTATAATAATCAAAATAGATTCATCAAAACTCCTATATATTATAACCAAAATTTGAATAAAACCATGATATTAAGACTTAAATTAATATCGCACTAATGCTACACTTTTTATCCAAATTTTTGTTAATATATTTAGCATTATATAATAAATTTACATGGACAATGAATTAAAAATAAAAAAAAAACAATGTATCTGAAAAAACACATACACGAATGAATTAAAATAAAAGCGCAAAAAAGAGACATAACTTTTATTTATTCAAAATCCATTGAATCTTTATGAAGCCCAACTTTTTGATATTTTTTGGATCACCTTCATGGATTTAGATAATCTCAAATTTAATTTATTCTTCTTTTCTTTCAACAATAGATCACTCATTTGCATTAATAGGACCTATTTATATATAATGAGAATCATTAAATTTTGTAGTAGATAATATCCCATTGAAAGAAATTTGGAAATATGTATCTTAGGATATCCAAATCCTATTTTGATATACGTAGCATTTCGTAGGTGGTTATGAAACATGAGAATTGAATGATCATTAATTAGTAACACTCATTCTATTGTTTGTATTTAATAATGAAAATACATTCTCATTCTCATTATTATAGAATGTTTAATCTCACTAATATAAGATGTATCATTTCTTAATATTTTGTGGTATTTCATTCTCAACTACCATCACTCGTTGCCACCATCACTAACAAACCACTATGGCCACCACAACCACTTAGGTTCGGATCTAGGGACGTGGTCAACTTTGTGTCTAGGGTCATGGTTTGCGGTTGAGGTTTAGGGTCAGGTTTGAGTCTAGGGTTTGGGGTCCAGTCTAGGCTTGGGTCCGAAGTTTGTGGTTGAGTTTGGGTATGAAGTCTAGGGTCGGGTTGAGGTTTGAGGTTGGGTCAAGGATCGAGTTTGAGTTAGGGGCCTGACTCAAGTCTGAGACTAGGTTTTCGGTCTGAGTCTAGGACCAAGGTCTAGTCTTATGTTGAGGTCGATTTTGGCTCTGCGTAGGGTTTTGGTAAAGTGTCGCGTCGGGTCCAAATTCGAGGTCAGGTCCCTACTCGAGATGGACCTAGGGTTCTGGTCTAGGATCGAGTCTGGAGATTAAGAAGTTGGGGCATCAAAAATAGTTATATTATTTTATCAAGAGTATTTCGATCAAATTTTTTTTATTAAAATTGTTTATTTATCTAAATATTTGAGTGAATTTTCAATTCTATTCTAACATTTAATCATAATTGTTATCAAACATTGAAATAATAATGTGCATTATATTCTATTCATATGGTCATTTCATTCTCACCTTCATTCTATTCTTATACCAAGAAACTTTTCTTTTCCCTATCTGGTTTAATTGTAGCATTAAATCAATTTTTCCCTTTTAAATGTTATCCAATAATCATTGGTGACATATTCGTTAGACACACACACAATGAAAATGAAGAGGAAAATGCAAGAGTTTTTATTGTTAATAGTTTTCTTAAAGGAAATTCTCATGTATTGAAACATTTACAATTTATATGCTTGATAATGGGTTGTATCATGTTGTATTTTAAATAGCGTAAGTTTTGACATTTCAAAATTTATTTAATTTACATCTGACTCATTTATAATCAAATATAAATGAAATTGGTATTGTGTATAAGGTTGTGTTTAGTCAGATTTGTATTACATGTAGCTGGATTTTGTCGATAGTTATTTGATAGGTTTAGTAGGTGGGTTCATATGCTTACCACATGATGGCTAAACATAAATCCACTATCTTAATGTTGTTGTCGTATCAGAGTTGTGATTTGTGTCTAGAATTACCAAACCTAACAATTCATAATGCATACAAAACATTAGTTAATTGGGGATGTTTATTAGGAGTTGGATCATATTCAAATTATTTTTTCTCAATATCTCTTAGTACGAGATCACTAGCACGTGAATAAAGTAGACTCCACTTAGAATTATGCTAGCTCATCTATAATCGAATAAAATGAAAGAAAATAAATGGGAAGAGATGCAAATCTTATTCATTATGTAAAAAAAGCTAAGAATGTTTGTTGAAAGATAGATTTTATCAATTGGTAAGAGTACGATTTGCAAGCTTTGAGTAGTCACACTTCATTCATGTAAAAAGGTCATGGTAATGCCATGGATATGTGCAACAAATTGTAGGTAGTGGTTGCTTGTTTTTGAGATGAAGTGTGATAGACAAAGTACATCTGCGATGAATGATTTCTTATTCTTTTTGTTTGGGAATTCAATAAGCATTGAATGGTAATATTCTCTACTAACATTCATGAAATATTGGAGGAAACTAAATTAGATATGATCAATCGTAATGTAGATCATGATTTGCATTCAATTGGTGTCAATGTTTTGATTTAGTGCGTGCGGATTGAAGATTTAAGGAAATGGGTTTTTGAAAAGGGAGAATAGAATTTACTTTGTCGGGTTTAACTTTGATTTTCATCGCATAGTCTATGACTCGCTTGATGGCCGCCATAATGTTCATATTTACTCTACAGTGTATTGAATTGAAGAGCAGAAGAATTGAAAAAAGCAAGGAATAGAGAGCTTTAGAGAGAAGTAGTGGTATTGAACTCAAATCTTTGTATTTCAAAGGATTTGGACAGAATTTAACGAATTGTTTTGCCATCTATTATCCAGCCACGACACATGAGTTTTATAAATTCTAACATCCAGAAAGGGTATATGTCCCTTGCATAGTACTTGCCACCTCTTTTTGTTCTCCGAATAGATTGACAAAAAATAAATACAAAAAGACAGATAAATGACGTGTCGTCGATATGTTGGCAGTTTTGGTTCCACTTTAATTTGTTTAAAATTCTAATTTACTCACCATGACTATATCACATCATTTAGTACTTATTTTGGTCTTCTTTATGACCAATCTAACATTAATCTTTGTTTTCTTCCCTGATTCAGTATGCTAATGAGCCTTGTAACTCATGAAAACTTTTATTATATGTTCCACTTTATAGTAGAGGCATTATGGAAATAGATCACTATCTTGTAATTTTTGAGATTGTATATCTATCCAAGGGCTCAAGTTTTGATTGATATTTGTAGAGTTAATCATCCCTCTTGAAATGAAGGTCTAAAGTGATTTATAATTTTTTGAGTACGTGATATAACTCATGCATTCATGTACAAATTAGTGACATCTTCTTCCATAATTTTTTTTTCTAGTCTAACATTACTCTTCTATGGTTAGTAATCTCTGTACAAGATTGTCACCACTCCTCAATATGTTATCATCTTATTGACAAATTGAGATGCACGGGATTTACAAATTACAACCTGTTATCTTTTTTTATTTATCTTTTTCATTTTCTCCCCTCTTTTACTTCAATCACTTAAAAAATTTAAATAAAAAATTAAATTATTGTAGTAAAAATAAATTTTAGATACAACTAAAAATTAGCGGATAGTTAGTGGGAGGATATGGGTAGCTATAAGTGACACGTGGAAGAGTGTGTTTGGATGAAACTTTTGTTTTGTAGTTTTATAATTCAAAATTCTAAAAAATTAGAACTTAGAGAGGGAATGCCTCCTATGGCGTCTCCCACTAAATTGTTTGTAATAATACACAATATAGATTAATTACATTGTAAGAACCATACTTTAATAGTCTCAAAATGACTTTGCG